AAACAGACATAGGTAATATCTAAAGCTATAGTAAGAAAAAAATACATAAAGCAACACTTCAAACTTCAAGCATAAATTAATTAAAATACAATAACAAAGGGAACTAAATAAAATAGGTTTGGTATGGTTAGGGCACTCGACTCACAATCTACGGGTTATAAGTTCAAATCCTGTCATCAAACATGCTCGCCCTTTCACCATGGAGGCCTAGTAATGTGATGGTCAATGGGAAATCCTACTATATGTCAGTAAAGAGTGGCTAAAGAGTTAACGAATGGTCCCGGCATGGCCAGGTGGTTAGGGCACTCGACTCGCAATCTGCGGGTCGCGGGTTCGATTCCCAGTCCCACCAAACATGCTCGCCCTTTCAGCCGTGGGGGCGTTATAATGTGACGGTCAATCCCACTATTCGTTGGTAAAAGAATAGCCCAAGAGTTGGCGGTGGGTGGTGATGACTAGCTGCCTTCCCTCTAGTCTTACACTGCTAAATTAGGGACGGCTAGCGCAGATAGCCCTCGTGTAGCTTTGCGCGAAATTCAAAGAATACTGCAAGTACTTGTAGCATTACAGCAAGTATAAACATTGAGGCTGGGAGTGGACTAGTTGTTTAGACTATGAATTTGTGATTGCATGACTCGTGTCCAATTATCGCAAATTACGGGTGCGCTATAATAGTGACAGTCCAATTCCACTAGTTTGTTGGAATAATGTAGCTCAAGTGTTTACAATAGGCGATGTTGTCTAGTTGTTTTCCCTCTATTTTTGAGCCATTATGTAGCTTAGCTTTGTGGGAAACTGCAAAATAAACAAACATATAAATACCCAAATAATGTTTTACTTACAAAACTAAACGTTTATGTGTTACACATAATTTGTACAAAAAGTAAGTTGTGTACTTTCATTAAAAATCTTCATTTATTTGAACGTCATTAGATATAACAAAGATGATTATTTAAGAAATGAAAATAAACTGTTCATTTTCAAGCACCACTTTATAATTTATTAATTATTTAGTCCGCAAGTAAAAAAAAAATACGGTTATTAAACATTCTCTAAATGTTTAGTAGGTACAGTACGTCATCATTGTGTCAAACCATGGCAAATTATGAACTTAATATTTTGTAACATACAGTCATGGCCAAAATATTTGCATACTGTACTATATTGATTCCCCCCAGTGGCAAAGAGGCAAGTCTGCGGACTTACAACGCTAGAAACCGGGTTTCGATACCTGTGGTGGGTATAGCGCAGATAGCCCATTGTTTAGCTTTGTGCTTAACTTCAAACAAACACACAAAATCTATATTGGTATTGTTACATGCATGATTTAGTTATAGGGTAATAACAGAGAAGGAAGTGTATGATGGACAAACATGTAAGAGTTGTTATTCTGGTCTGTATACATTGTTTTGAGTATTTGTTCATCAAAACACACATACTCACATGTTTTGTATAAAAGAGTGTGCTTTGGGTATAATCTTTTTCGAAAGATATCAACGCTTTGTACAAACAATCTCCCTGTTATTGGTGTAGAGTCATGCCTCGTCACGTGCCAGAAGTTATAACGCACGTGAAATTGTATGAAGAAAATGGAAATTGCTAGAACAGTAAAGTACCTCCAGTGTACTGTATCCAGAACCCTGAAATGGCACCTGGAAATGTTGTTCAAAAGAAAGTCTACTGGTAGACGCCAAAAACTACTGTCCGAAATGACCGTGTTTTGCAACAACTTACTTGTTTGTTTGTTTTTAATTTTTAACAATACGAGTTACGAAAAATTACCGTATTATAAATAATAAATAAGATTGCATTCTAAAAAAATATTATATTTTTCACTTAAAATTTAGAACACAAAATAGTATAGAAAATAGTTTCTTATCCCATTGTTTTTAATGAAAAAAATTGTAATATTCTATAAATATTGTAATGGAGCTTCAGAAGATCTAATTCTAAAGCATAATATTAAAAAACGAATAATCTAGGCTCTAAATAAGTGACGATAGACTAGTTCCAAATAATAATAATAAATATAGACTTCTTTAGCAATTTATTAAATTATCAATCTGTAAATTACTTGTACCTGATGATGACAAAACCTTGTCGAAACGTTGTACATTTGCTGTTATGTTAAACTTATATTAAAGTTTTTCTTCATTACCCATTCAAGCCGTCTCCAGCCATTATTAGTCTCAAAGTGGGTTCCTCGTCATCGAATCTGAAACTATACCTTATCAATGGTGATAAATTTGTTATATTTGTAATAAACTCATCACGATTCAAACGGTGAGCAAGTATTTTAATGCTTATGTTTACTATTTGAAAATGCCTTTTGAAAATCTGAACAGGAATTACTTTCGTTTTATTCGAATATTTCTGCAAGATATATCTGAAAAGAGCTGTAAAGTCAGCATTTATAAAGTTTAACATAAATGCCTCGTTGGCAGTAGAGATCGCAGATGTAATTCGGTTGACATATTCTTCTTTATTTTCATTCATAAGTTCTTAGAAATGATATAATCATTTTATGCCAAAGTCATAAAGGTCTCTTATAGTGTCTGCGTGTGTGTTTTCTTGATTTTTAACTAATCATATTGTAGGAATAGAGTGAATTTTCCATGAACAGGCAGTCGAAAATTGGGCAACAAGTAAGTTTCGGTAATTACCTTTAAAATACCGGAAGTTATTTGTTTATTTCTTTGTAACTAAGCACAATGATATACAATGAGCTATCTGTGCTGTGCCCACCATGGCTATTAAAATCCGGGTTTTAGCGTTATAAACTGTCAGACATATCACTGAGACACTGGGAGGCAGAGTTATTTGTGTAGTCTTCACTAACGAATATCCTCTATCACACATTTAACAGTTTTTCATTTCAAATAAATAATATAACTTTCAGTTTGTTTGTTATAACGAAAACCACACAATAAGTTATTTGAAGTCTGTCAACAACGGGGATTAAACCTCGGGTTTTAGCCTTATAAGTCCGCAAACTTACCACTGATGTGCAGGAGGATAAACATTTTAACCTAACTGTTGAACTTATTTGTTCCTGCCAAGTAACAGTACATTTCATTCATGAATTTATAAGAATTTCTTATATTCGTAAGGTGTTATTTATATATCATATCCAGTTCAGTAGACGTAGGCATTTTCTAATTAATATTGATTCTCTTATTTCATCCGCTTGCACTCGATTAATAATCAATACTTATAAATATTTTACAAATATAATTTAAACGTCTTCCTGAATATATGTTTTTACTGACAATGTTATTTAAAGAACTTCTAAACACAAATCATCTTGGTAGGTGTGTTTAAAATTTCATAATTTTCTTTTAAGATACCGGAGTATTTCATACGCTTCTATAGAACTTTAGAGCTTTTTTTTATTTCTAGAGTATTATATTTCATCTGAAGTACTTTTGTCTACTTCAATATGACCATGTCAAGTTTTAATGCCTCACATAATATAGTTGGAACTAAAGTATCTCACAAGGAATCTTAAAATTATTTGATATTTGTACTATGAAAGAAATTTGGTAAATAATACTTATCTTAAATACAAGATACGGTGAAAAAGTGAGATCGCTGCTTGTTTCAAAAATTTAACACAAGTGTTAACATTAAATTTGTATGTGTTTGTACATGACTAATTTCGATCAAGTCTGACAGGTTTGTTTGTAAAGCACAAAACTCCAAAGTGGGCTATCTGTACTTTCTATCGATGAACAGATAAGTGGAGTAATTATGGGTTTCAGCCTTGTTCCTACCCTTGCTAACCTTTTCCTGGGCTTCCATGCAAAGCTTGGTTACACTCCAGTTCTGACTTTTCTAAGCCTGAGTATTATAGAAGATATATTGATAACACTTTTATGGTGTTTAGGAATGTTGAGTCGGTTAACGAATTGCTCCAATTTCTAAATGTTAAGCAGTCCAATATAAAGTTTACTGTTGAAAATCAACCGAATGGCAAATTTTCTCAGATGTTCATGTCTTGAATGATTATGGTATAATTATCATTAAAACGTATCATAAACCAAGTTTTAGTGGACTTTACTAACATTTTGAAAGATTCACAACTCTAATCTTTAAAGAAAATCTGGTTAAAACCTTGCTATACAGAGTATTTACAATATCAGGAAATAAAAACCTTTTTATGAAGAACTTTAGAACATTAAACAAATACTTAGAATATATTATTTTTCATTGTATTTCCTAAATAAAATAATCCACACCAAAACAGAAAATCTAAATACTTCATCCGTTGTTATGTTACATGTTCAGTATCCTACTTAATATCCTATTTAATACATGAAATAGTGCATAAGTAAAAGAGAGGGATTTTTATTCTTAACATTTTAACTTCAAAAGATCATTTTTCAGTAATAAAAATTATCATTACAAAGTAATAGACACTATTTTAAAAACATGTTTGTTTTTAGTTGAGGTAATGGTACACAATATGTAATAAGTACTGTTCCCACAGCGAGTCACGATTCTTAACGTTATAAGCCCTCAAGCTTAGCGTTGAGACACCATGTGTCTGTTTGAAAAATACAAAAATATGTTATTCAACATTGGAGACCAATAATATCCATTGAATACCTTCTAATGTTATATAAGTTCGCGTGCCCGAGGATCAACTGTAGATATATTACACCAACCACTAGAAGGCTCTATAGTCGAATAAAAATAAATACTGTAATGTAAAAACCTATAACACTAGTAGTGTTTTCAGCCACTGTCTAACAAATGTGATATTATGCCAACTTTCAATTTCTTCTACGTCATTCTCCATTCCCGGGAAGAATCGATCAAGTTATGATGATAAAATATTTCTGTGGGTATTGAGTTGCAATATTCTACCTTTGATTGTGTAAATTGATATAATTAAAGCTTACCTTGTTAATATCTTTATTTTTATGCAGTGTAATAAACCGAATCTAAGCGATATGACATAAAATAAGCAGCATCATTTATTCATTAAGAAAATTTACCTTGTTCCATTAGAAGAGCGTCACACAAGGAGTTCGTGGATAGAAAGAAGAAATACAACGAAGCTTATGAATGATTCTTATTTGCTGCGAACAAAAAAAAAAGATTCATTGATTCTTCTATTTTGATGAAACCTTGTTCTGTACACTACGATATTTGATTAATCTAAAATACGAGAATTTTTCTTCCCTTTGCAAAGTACGACACTTATTTTCTGGTCCATTATTTTTTACTGGTGTTCCAAACTATATTGCTTACTTTGAAATACCACTTTGATTCTATATTATAAATAGAACTAATGTTAGCAGAAGCGGGGGAATAAAATTATTTCGAGGAAACATATATTACAAAATTTCTTTTTTCGCAAATTTAATGATTTGGAGCCAGACTACTATATGTAAAATAAATAGGTTGAATATTTGTCGATCTGTTCACTGTGAAGTTTCAATTAAAATGTGGTTTTTATTTAATTTCTACCCTCTAAATAGCTGTCCTTCATGTCCTACTTTCTATTTCTAAATATCCTATATTATCTATTATAAGCAATACATCGTTTCTTTGAAATTGTTTCTGTATAAAATACGGGGAAACAAACTTAATGTAAAGTGCAAGAAAATGATATCAAACTATGAAAGGTTCTGGCAATTATAATGAGGTATAAAAGGTATTATTTTAACAATACACAACCAGTACTTTAATCAAAGTATCTCAAATTATTTGAAACATGTCTACTCGGTTACAAATGTTATTCGTCTTTTTTAATACTTTAAGTAGTTAAATAGGTATGACAAACTGAGGAACGTTTAATTGAATTTAAGACATATATAGCTTCTTTTAAAGATTTTTAGATACATTATACCAAATGCAGTTTGGTTTAAATCTTAACCATTATCAATAGATTTACTTCCAAATACAGGCATCCGTTAATCAGTTACAATTATACCTAATTTATTCAAAATATTAACAAAAACTAGATAATATTAAGGTTTGATAAAACTTCCTAAAAGTATTTCTCATCTCTTCCCGATTTTGATCACTCACTGAATCAAAGATTATGGTGATGTTGATAAAAAATTTTAATGAAGAAGATGTTTCAACACGAAATAAAAATTAAAGTTCTTGCAATAAATCTTGGAGGAATAAATCATTAGTCAATATGTACAATCCCAGATTCAGTAAAAGAGAAAAGCTGATAATCTTAACTTTTAACCATAAAACGTTATCTTGCTGTAGGTAAAATAATCGGTGCAAGGTGACATATATTATCTTAATAAGATGTTTATATTTGAGTATACACAAGATACACAACAGGCTATCTGTGCTGTGCCCACCAGGACTGTGGAATTCTGATTTATAGCTTTTGAAATATATTTTGTCATGGATTGTCTTTAACCTAAGACATTCCGTAGAAAACTCCTTGGAATATTATCAACGAGTTTTCTTTTTTCCTATTTGATTTTCTAATATATACTTGATCATGGGTTATAGTGACCAAAATATTCGCTTGCATAATTTTCCACATAGTTTTTCTTTCATTTAATTTCTTTTTTTGATTCTCTATCACTCTTTTCACAATTGTTTTTTTTGCTTGTTACTTGTGTAGTGAAAATTTTGTATTTTCAAACGACCTCTCCTCTTTACACATGTTAGATATATTCGTTTTTACCCTAACTTTTGTTGCCATTTTTTATTCCATTCCCTCTTTTCCTTACAAACAACTTTCAATTTTGTTCTTTGACTATTTTCAACGCATGTTTATTTTAATCATTGTCAATTTCTTTCTATGGTTTCAATCTCGAAATCTCTCAATGTCTCAGCGTTTAGATTGAGGCTAAACTTCGGGGCTCGATTCTTACGGTGAGTACTTCGCACAGTAGCATATTTTATAACTTTGCTCTTGAAGAAGATCAATCACGTGTTTCCCATTTTCTTCCTTCTGATTCATTTTGTACTTTAAGCAACATTGGATTTATTGGATGCTTAGTTACTATTCAAGCTTCTTTCCCGCTTAATATCAACTAAGCTTCAATGAATAATATTAAGCGAAAAGTTTATTTGTGCAATGTGATCTTTCCTTTACTCCAATTCTGTTATTTTATCTTTTTATGTTCTCCGTCTCCTATGGTTTGTGTGTTTGAAGTTAAGCACAAAGCTACACAATGGGTTATCTGTGCTCTGCTCACCACGGGTATCGAAACTCGGTTTATAGTGTTGTAAGTCCGCATACATACCGCTGTGCCACTGGGGGGGGGGTTCCTTTGTAAGTTTTAATGTAGTACTATTATTTGCTCCCAAAACTAAGCATTTAATCGACACCAACTGTATTTAGAATTAAGTAGTAGAATGATTAATTTAAGTTACTTCATGAAACAAATTGTGCACTATAAATATGTTTGTATGTCTATAAATATGTGGTTGTGTGTGTATTTATATTTCAAACGTTTTAAACTTTATAAATATTCTCTTCAATTGTGCCCCCAGTGGCACAGTGGTATATCTGCGGGCTTACAACGCTAGAAACCGGGTTTTAATACCCGTGGTGGGCAGAGCACAGATAGCCCTTTGTGTAGCTTTGTGCTTAACTTCAAACAAACAAACTCTTCAACTGTACAAGTGAAGAACAACATGCTTTAAATTATAGTCATACGTTTGACTTTCTTCTGAGGTAACTGACAGTTAATTAGCAACTGCCATGCATAAGACCTGTCTGAACTCGCTTAATGATTGTCCTATCAACTGCTGTAATTAAATTATTTGAAGCATTTCACAACTAAGGACACCTAATAGTGAAGTAAGTAAATGAAAATAATTAACCAATAAAATTTTCAAAGTATACTTGGTCTTCTGAACCTACTCAAACCTTTAAATGGTTGTCGGAATATGATATCAAAAATAAAATCATTAAAAAACCTAAATAGTGGTGATGTTTAGGATGACATACTCGTTTGGAGTGAGTAGCTTTCTGGAACGACAGATGTTATCGACTAAATTTATGAAAACATTTCATTCAGAGGAGTGTTTCAACAAACTGAGACATAAATACTCAGTTTCGCACTATCGCCTCCCCGTAGTTCAATGGATCAGGCCTATGTGCTTGTACGCGCCCACAAGGCGTTCACGTCCCTGGCAGTCATTGGGGCGATTGAAAATCAGGGAAGTGAGACGCAGGACAGCCGCTTTGCTGGAGTTTGAAACTTCTCAACATTGTATCATCTTCTCTACATAGCTGTAACTAAAGTAATTTCAATGACCTGAACTAATAATTAGTGATATGTTAATAACAACATGTCCTCCACTAAACATTGGGGTTTTCATACTATTTTGTTTCAAAATTTGGCACCTCTGTACAGTGGATTTTTATTTGTGCTAATGTCCCTTTCAAATATTTCAGGTAAGAGAATTGGAAATTTGTTGTGATTTACTTATGTGTATATAAGAAAAACAACATTTAATTTATTTAAATAAAAAACTACATTGACAGATATCGATATTAAAGTAGTGGAAGTTCTACAACATACTTTTAAAACTGATCTCTCTCATAACTATCTTTCATTTCTAGTTGACTGTTGTAATACTATCTTTTTTACACTTTTTCACAGGCTAACATAGTTTCAGTCATGTTACTTGTTATATAGGAAATAGCTTAAAAGATACGCTTCGGAAAATTATAAAATTACAATTAAGATAAAACAAAACCTAAAGAAATACAATGATGAGGGAATAAATTTAAAGATTACACTTCTTCAAAGTGTTAAATTAGATTGAAAACTCTGAAGTCTATTTTATTGCAGGATTTATCGCAAAGAGTAAACTTGATGTATTAAAAGCAAAACAGATAAGTTTCAATGTTTAATGACATGTTGTTTGTTAATTCTGGTAAAAGTATTAGCACACAGGATCAAACACAAAATGTGCAATCAATTTCAAAAAAGACCGAAAACTCGAGCGCTTTCAAATAGTTAACTATCCTTTTTTTTCCAAATAGCCAACTATCCGAAAGTGCTTGAGTTTTAGGTCTTTTTGTTTTAAATCCACGCTGTTTGTTATGCTACATCATTTCTGTCACCATCATACTATTTATATTTAGTTTGTAAATGTTTATGCAATATTGATCCAAGTAAAATATTTGTTTGAAATGAACATGTTTCTAGTCATTGGCTGCAGCAAAATATGTTACACCCAGTTGAGAGTCAAACTCAAACTCAGTTGATGCACATGAAAATCACAATATAATACCAATGTAATACAATACTTACTCGAAAGTGGATTGAATTGCTATTTTTTTTACTAAAAAGTCACATTTCAGAAGTGTTCAGATTACTAACAATTAGAAATACGTTTTTGTACAATAATTCATTTACATATAATTTATTCAAATTAGTATAAAATCTGCCCCTATCTGAAAAGTGATAACGATGTATGGCAGTTATTGTCTTGAATTTCAAATCGACAGTACATTTTATAAAATTTACAATTTGAGTTTATATAGCGTATCTTATACATTAGATATAAAATTACTTACGTAATGTTTGCCAATAAGGATGGATAAATAAATTAATATATTAAGTTACATTCTAAATACATTATTTGTACGAATAAAACAGGATGATAAAATGCTTTAGAAACGGTAATAAACAACATCTCTTTTTGCTGCTAATTTATGGATAAAGAATTCACGCTGTAACTAACAAGTCTATTCACTTAATCCCAAAATATGATTTACACACGCCGTTATCTATAACACTTCCCGGGGTAAATATTTTTTTTTATTAGTTGTTTTCAGAGTTTACAATGTGAGTAATTAGAAGAGTATACATGAGTGGACCGGGATTATCGATGTATTATAACACATCCCTGCTAATACGTTTAAGCTCATAGCTTCTTCTTGGATCAAAAGCTAATAAATTTGATCACATAAGCTTTTGAATCACAATGTCTATACATAAAGTGATTTGCTGAAACTCTCTACTTAATGACTACCTGCTGGTCAGCAAAATCAGAAAAACAATGTGTCGATAAATCGTGTTCATCCTAAGCTAGAAACCACTGATTTTTTTTTAACGAAAATAAACCAGGTTTCAGTAAATATGCCTACATCTACGTGTACACGACTTTATGCATCAACAAAAGAAACCGAAAACTACAATTATTTCTGCCATATAGTTATTACTTCATCTTCAGTGATGTTCTGAAGATAAAGTTTAATAACTATTGCTTAAAAGCTGTAACATTGGAAAACTGTCTCGTTTTCCAATAGAAAATATCCATTACCACACTTTGATCCCTTGTAAATGTTACAGGTCTTTAGCATAATTCACTTTAGTAATACGTTTGTAGCAAGCACTATACAGCTACATAATGGTGCGATTGAAGTTCGGGTTATTTATAAAATTGTGGACTGGATGTGGTTTAATTGTTAATATCTGGTGCTGCAGATCATTAGGTCTAAGACTCGAGACGAGATTTCGCTGAATACATTTCGCAGTTTCACTGTCATGGTTATAAAAGTGGCAGTATATCCCATTATTCGGTTCAAAGAGACAGACAAAGGCATTGTCGCAATGAGTGTTGCTTTCTGGTTATCTTGTGGTCAGTAGCTCAATATTAGGAACAATTATAACAGAACCCAATTTGTCTCTGATCTATCTAGTTTAACCCATGTGTGCATATGATGCCATTCAGGTAAATATAATTTTACTTGCACCTTTATTATTGCCAAAATAAGTCGAAACTAGTAGGTTGTGTTTCAGAAAAAAAAGTAATAATCTGTTATTCTTTAAAAGGGGTAACGACTGTACAATCTTGAAAACATACTTTTATCTAATTACCGTGTTATCCTTTGCAAATTGAAATTTTTGCTTCTTGTTGACCATGTCGAATTAATGACTGTAATCTTTATTTTCTTGATTGAAAATTAAATTCGAGTTTTCAAATATGCTCAGTCTTCTCCGAGTACATGGAAAAGCTTAATTTTCAAGATTACTTTAGAATACGTACTAAACAAACGAGCAGAAATTAAGATTTTTATAAATTAGAAAACAATTTTTTTTCTTGTAATCGTAAATCATGCAAAATGCCCAAATGAATTATCCTACTTCCATGTCTCTGAGGCACTTACAAACTAGGTTTTTCATGTGATTTCACAAAGACAGAATACAGTGTCACTTTGGGTTATTTACATTTGATATAAAATTTTTTACATCACAGTTCTAATTCGCAATACGTTTAACAATTAGTTGTTCATGAATATTTTAAAACCCCTATGTTCAATACTATTTTGTTTTTTACTTGAAAACATTTTCTTTTTAACCAAAGCATAGAGAAAGGATAATAGTAATTAAATTTTTGGATTTATATAATACAGATTTCAGTCACTGTGTGTCATCATTAATTTCTGTATTTAAGGGAGAGATAGATGATGTGTTATGTAATAATGCACGGTTTTTAAGAAACGGTGGTAAGCACTGCATATTACAATTTATATATATGAATCATTTCTGTATATTATAAACTTAACAACATATACTCGTTCAGCAAGTAAATCAATCAGTTTAGATATAAGTTATATCCTATTGCAACGCTGCAAAATAAAGATTTTACCATTCTAATCGATTTATGTAGGATCTGCTTAGATGTTATTAAATTATTATGAAAGTGTTGATTCAATGGAAAGTCTGCAATACTTGTAATAACACAAAACTAAGTTATCTTTAATCTAGAGAATTGATTAACTTCTTACCCCTTGCATCTAATTATTGTACCACCCTCCCCCGTGTGTGCTGATCCCGATATTAATTTACACAGAAGTACATTATATAAATAGTGGTGGTAGATGAGTTTCAGAGAGAGCATTAGTTTTCCTACGGTTAGTTAGAAGTTTGTAGATTGCTTTGCATCCATTTTAAAATATATTCTTTTTTATCTTATTCATTAGACTAAGTACTAATAGTTTAAATAATTATAGTGAGAGAGCCTCACAGAATAAACCAATAACAATAATAGCTTTGCAGTAGGAATATGCTTTAACATTTAATTAATAACGTTTTAATACACAGAAATGGGTCATTATCAGGTTATAATCGATTACTTTTGTCGGTTGAAACGTCTTGAATTAAATATTAAAACATATTCCTGAGGCACAGCAGTTTGATTCTTTATCGAAAGCTTGACCAGTAAAATGGCAATAAAATAACTTGCATACTTTTAGATATATATCGTTAGGTTGGCATGTGTATTTATTATTTTCCTTTTCAACCTTTTTTTTTTCACTTTGAAAGAAAATGTCTGTACCTTAACATAACACCTAGAAACTTCTATTTATTGTAACATATGTTGAAGTTATTGTTTCTTCCCGAGATAATTACAAAACATCCAGGGTTAATAAATATTTATTATTGTTCAAAAATGTGGTTGAAATATACCATACGGTAAACAAACATAGAATTCTCTTAGACAAAAAAGTCAAATAAACACCTAATTTCTAGATTAAGCTTCTGAATTCTAAGGATAACAATTGAAATAAAGAAATTATCCACTATTTTTTCTTCATTATTTTCATTACTATATGACAAATATTTTGTTATACAGAATTATGTGAACATCACTGTGCCACTGGGGAGCCTGTAGCTTAGGTATAGGGTGCATGAGATTTATATTAATTTTCGTTAAAGATTGCTTATTCTTGAGTATATTTTTTACGTATCTATTGCTAAATAATCGTGTTCAGAAGACAAAATTATCACATATGAGTGAATTAATAATGCACCTTTCTTTAACGGACATTGACATTTTTTCCTATTTCCATATTAGAACTGTAAGTTTTAAATTTCTGTCTGTACAGTAAAAGGAATGAAATACAACACTATCTATTTTTAGTAATAAAAAGAAAACTATTATCTATACTTCGCCAAACACCTTTCTCGACATGAAACAGTCCATTGTGGTTTTCAATAAATATGATCAATATGTTTCATTTCTGAGCGGTTCTAACTTGCCAGTGTATATTGTTTCCTCTTTTTTTTTTTGACTTAAGAAGGAATACTAAGAAATACTTGTAGGCAACTTACTAAGAACATAGCATTTTGTCCACATATGAATCGAAAATTAACTTATAATATCAATTAATAGATAAAACATTTGCATAATATTTCATACGAAAATTATTTACATTATAATATTGTTATAATACTGCTAAACATAATATAAAGTTTTCAATATAAGCCATAAAACTATGTCACTGTTTTACGTTTTTATTCGGTACATGAAAAGATCGCAATAACTACTATTTTCTCCAATATCATACAGTTATACTTCAGGTTAATTCTTCTTTATTCATTAATTTGGTAATCCAGGTTATAAAAGAAAAATGTTACTACTTTCATCACAAATATC